CTGGTGTGCCAGTCAAACAGCTGGGTCTATAGTCAAGGCAGTCCTCATTCTTGTGACTACTGTCACCTGTGCTTGGGGTTCTTGTTTTCCTACTACTATTCCATTTCGGAATGTGCGGATCCCCTTCGTCTTTTATTGAAAAACTTGAAGGGTTGAAGAAATCAGGTGTGGCTTCCCTGATTCTTTTGTCACGCTCGTGACTGTTAACGGTACCCACGGCACTCTTTTTCCTTCCACGATTCAGTTTCTGGTCGGGAGGAATTTTCCCATTCTGATCGTCTGAGCTAATGGAAATAAGGGGTCCCAGCATTGTAGGTCTGGTCCCTTTTGAAGATTTCTTTTTCTTGTCCCATCTTTTCCTTGTTGGCTTAAGACTGGAACCTAAGGGTCCCGGCACTGTAGCTACGGTCCTGTTAGAAAAATTCTTCTGTTTCCCTAGTATCCCTTTTGGGTTAGTAAGTTTGAGGTACTGTCTGTCTTTTTTGAGGTGGTTTTCATCCTTATCCCTAGCTTCTAAACTTTTGGGAGAAGGGGTGCGCACTTCTAAATTGGGAGGTTGAACCTCTACAATCTGTGCCCTAGAATCAGTCTGAGGTGTGCTTTCCTCGACTGCACTCATAGTATCATCACCATTTTCTGCTTGCTGTTCAGGCCGCCTTTCTCTGTCATATTCTTGTTGAGTAGACTGTCGCCTTCTCTCGTCTTCTTCGTCGAACTGCTTCAGTTCTCTGAGGAGTTCTGCTCTTATAAGCTGATACTCTCTCTCGCTGTCTATCTCACGCTGGTAGCTTTCTTCGTCTTCTTCTTTCATACGTTGCAACTCCCTCTCGTGCTCTTCTCTTAGAAGTTGTTGCTGCCTCTTACTTTCCTCTCTCTCCAGCTGGCGCTTTCTGTTAAGTTCGCTTATACGCTGTATCTCACCCTCTTCTTCTATCTCACGCTGACGCTTCTCCTCTGCAGCAACCCAGGCAATCCTATCATCCCACTGAACCATATGGTAGTTAACAAAAGTCTCTAACTGTGCCCCTACCATGCCGTCTGCTACCCCACATTTTATGCATATTTCTCGGTACTCGGTACGTATATCCATCCTATCTTATTAGATCTATTAAGAAAGAGGTATAATAAGTTCCCGAGTCAGAGTAAGCGAGATAAGTCAGAGCAAGGTACAGTAAATAAGACAACCGAGTATACTACCACCGCAGCACAGAGATGTGAATGAAACAGAGCAACCTACCAGACTGACAGCTTATCGAATGTTATAGCAGCACAAAGTTACGCCTATAAATGATGTGAAGTAAAATTACATTCAGTCACTAAGCATAACTATCAATGATAAGATGTCAACATTCAATGTTCTACACTCTATATCCAATGATGAAACATGCAAGCAGATATAATCAAAATCAACTCTATCTAAAATTTACTGAATAAACAATGATTCATGGTTATGACGTGATCAATGATAGACAGTTAAATGATACCATCCATTTATTTATTTAAAAAGTTATTTTATACTTTATAATCTCTCTCCATGTATAAATTACTAATTTTGATTTATACTATATACTGGCAGAAGAGTTAAAGTTAAATTTAATAAATTTACTATCATTAGTCTAGGAGTGATTGGCCAAGTCCAAATCCCGGCGAGCTCTCCCAGTGTGACGTTTCGGCCCGTCTCCCTTGGAAAGTACAACACTTTTAGTGTGACGTTCCGGGTCGTGGGTTCTCTGGATTTTGGGTTTAAATGATTTATATGTTGAGTGGGGATTTTCCTCTCAACACATCCCCTCCACCAGATTAACTGAACTATTATCCGGGCTATGTTGCTCTCAGACAAAGTCCTGGATATCCAAGAAAACAGCCATATTGGCTCGTTATTTATATTAACTTTAGCTGAACTTGGTACCCACAAGAGAAAGAAATGGGTTTTAGATGTCTATATATTATTATCTTGAATGATTCACTAGACAGGGCAGTTGACCCAATCCGTCGACCTTCTCTTGGTACAGAATTATTATTATTTAATGAGCCCCCACCAAATGCTATTCTATCTTAACAGTTTAATTAAACATGTAAGAACAGACACACTTGGAATTATAAAAACTGATGCAGGATAAGACCATATAATTGATTTATTAACCTAGCAATCATTTTGAGTTCTTTATATTTTTAGTCAATAGTGATGGTATGGTGATAATGAGATGCTTCAGCTAGATAACTGAGCACCTAAGATTCGACTGAATGATAATGGTGGTGTTTAGTTACATAAATACATGTTACATAACTTTAGAAAGTGGAACCTCTGAGAGTCCTCGTGTTGAGTCCCTTCTTAGCTGTTCCAATCTTTCCGCCCAGTTCTCCTGGTCCTTCCACCTGGTTCCCTGGTTCCCACCTGTTTCTCAGCTGGCCGAGTTCTAGCACAATGTAGTCTCGTGACCGTGATGACCCTCTATTTCTGTTCTTAGAAACGACTGATCCTCACCCACATGGGAGCTGGAAACTTCCAGCTATCGCCAACTAGAATCAAACCATTAGAATTACCTCTAAGGTCGACCTGTTTGTTTGCTCGTGGCAGCGATTCTGACAGAAATTCCAGGGCTTGTCTTATTAATACCCCTATCTGTCTGCAAGGTTAACTCCACCCTCTTCTCGGTTCTACCCAACCCTAAAGGAGATGACCTAAGCCCCTCCTCTGAGGTACCTATTAGATCAACCTAGCTATCAAGGGCCTGTCACTCACAGTGAACAGCCTACAGTACGACCTTGACCAAGATTAAACATTCCTAATTGCCAAACATCTGCTCTCTGGAGAATTTCACTATCATGTGTGAAACTTTCAGACGCTGGACGCCGGCCTGTCTAGAAATGTCTATCAGACCACTAATTCCCCTGCTTCAGTTAGATCAAACGGCCCCACTCAGTCTGTGTTATGTAACTTTTTATGACACTAAAGTCGGGTTAAGGGGAGCTAATCAGGTGTGGTACGAAGTTATCTCCCCCTTTACTTGCCTCTACAGACTGGGCAGGAGATAAAATTTATGACATAGACATGAGAAAGGAATTCCTAGCCAAGGTAATATTACCTAAAGCAAGGTTGCTTTGTCTGGCTAAGAGGGGAAACACAGTTTGAACAATTCTCAAATCCCATGTAGTGGTTTTAGAACTATTTTAGGCTCAGTGACTATTGCTTTTAATTCTTTGTCCTTCTCTGAACATAAGAAATTATTAAACTCAATATAACTTCTGAGACCACTGAGGTCATTTCGTCACACAGACTGCTATTGATCTCCAACACTGTCTCTTGTCTTGGTAGTACACTCTCTCAGACTGCTATTGATCTCCAACACTGTCTCTTGTCTTGGTAGTACACTCTCTCAGACTGCTATTGATCTCCAACACTGTCTCTTGTCTTGGTAGTACACTCTCTCAGACTGCTATTGATCTCCAACACTGTCTCTTGTCTTGGTAGTACACTCTCTCAGACAGCTATTGATCCATCTCTTGTCTTGGTAGTACACTCTCTCAGACTGCTATTGATCTCCAACACTGTCTCTTGTCTTGGTAGTATACTCTCTCAGACTGCTATTGATCTCCAACACTGTCTCTTGTCTTGGTAGTATACTCTCTCAGACTGCTATTGATCTCTAACACTGTCTCTTGTCTTGGTAGTACACTCTCTCAGACTGCTATTGATCTCTAACACTGTCTCTTGTTTTGGTAGTACACTCTCTCAGACTGCTATTGATCTCCAACACTGTCTCTTGTCTTGGTAGTACACTCTCTCAGACTGCTATTGATCTCCAACACTGTCTCTTGTCTTGGTAGTACACTCTCTCAGATAGCTATTGATCTCCAAAACTGTCTCTTGTCTTGGTAGTACACTCTCTCAGACAGCTATTGATCTCCAACACTGTCTCTTGTCTTGGTAGTACACTCTCTCAGACTGCTAGTGATCTCCAACACTGTCTCTTGTCTTGGTAGTATACTCTCTCAGACTGCTATTGATCTCCAACACTGTCTCTTGTCTTGGTAGTACACTCTCTCAGACTGCTATTCATCCATCTCTTGATGTTGTTTACCAGTTTGTATCATTGTCTACCTCTTGCTCGCTTGCTTTGGACTTTTCCCTTCAGGATGGTTGTTAAAAGAGTATTATGCCTGTGGCTGAAATATTTCAATTATCTCTTTTTAATTTATGTCAGTAACTCTCTTCACATCCTTGAGAAAATCTGTATTCGATTTTTTAAGTTTCAATGAAATACAATCTTTTCTTTCCACATTTCCAGAGACAGATAAGTTTTCTAGTTGCTTTTTAATTTTCCAGGTTTCTGCAAATGTGAATACAGTAAATACCTCATTAAAACAAACTAGCTTAGGAAGAACATTTAGTTAACATGTATACAGTTTTGGTCCCAGCGAGGATCATTATTAGTTCCCAGTTAGTGTGAATTAAAAAAAAAATACTTTTGATTTTTGGGTTCCTTGTTATTCTGTTAAAGTTTTTACTGTAACAGTTTTAGAAAATATTCACATTTACAACAGGCCTGATAAAAAAAAAAACCAAGAAAAATAATATTTCAGAAACTAGGCAAGATTCCTACTATGGAAAATGTAAAGATTTTCTGAGAAAAAACAAGTACAGAATCATTCAAACAGGCATTGAAATGGGAGAATATTTACATAGGAATCAAGGATGTTCTAGAGAAATTCTAAAATGAACATTGACGAGAGAGGCCAAAGATGGACTGGATAACATATAATGGCACATTAGGATGATGATGAAAGGCAAAGAAAGGTGTCTGCCCACAAATTATTACATGCTATTAGAAATCACAGGATATGGAGAATTTTGATTGTTCACACTACTAGCTGGCCAGGCATTTGATGAATATGTGTGTAACACTGAATTTGATGAATATGTGTGTAACACTGAATTTGATGAATATGTGTGTAAAACTGAATTTGATGAATATGTGTGTAACACTGTCTTCATTCAGCTAGGTTGTGGTGCCGGATTGCCAGGACTGTACTGTTGCAGACGTGGGGCTAAACAAGTGGATTTTCAAGACTATGTGAGTTTGTCACTGCAGTGTTGCTCTGTGGTTAGTGTTTTTGCTATCAGTGAAGTAAAGTAAAAGACTCATTGAATTCCTTTGGCACACAGGGTGCTAGATGTGTATTTCTGTAGACCAGTGGTTCCTGGTTAGGTAAGACCCGTGACCCCTCTTATTTTTGAAGGTTTGCCATAGACCCCATACTTTTAATAATACTATTTTTTAGGACAAAGGAGAGTTGTAAAAAAAAAAGTTGAGTGTTGTTACTTTTTGTTGTTGTTAACAAATTGTAGACCCCTTAAATTTGTTCCATGGACCAGTTGAGAACCACTGCAATAGAGCAGTAGGCATTCATTAGGCGATGTGGTCATCATCATGACAGCTACCTTTACTTTCCAAGGCATTACCAGGTACCCATTTTCGATCGACCTGGGAACCAAGGTCTGGTTTCGAAAAACAAAAATCTGCCTTGGTGCAGATATGAAACTTGGACCTTCTGGCTGGCAGGCGGGGATCTAGCCTTTATTGCTAGTATTGATAAGTAAATATGTTTTCTTTAGGTCACTGCAGTTAGAATGGGGAAAAAGTAGAAGAGCTGTATACTTCGGGATGAAAATGTAATATCAATCAATCAGTCATCATGTCTTTTACAGAATGTCGCTCTCTTCGTGGCATGTCTGAAAGTCTTTCTTTGTCCAGCTAGTTCTCCAGCGCTCTGTGCTTTTATAGCCACTGCATCTTCAATGTCCTGTATCCATCTTCACCGAGGTCAGCCTATTTTTTCCAGAAACTGCATCCTGCATCACCGTTCTCTCTAGACCACAATGTCGCTTGACCTGCCCAAAATACCTGAGCTTTTGAGAGAGGATACTGTTTGTGAACCAGTTCTCTTTGATGTTCAGGTCATGCAAGATAAATTAATATACATTTTGAATTTTCAAACATGAGGTAATGGATCAGATATCGAGCTTCTTAAACAAATGTGGGGGAGCCATGTGCACTTTGTGCATGTTGACAATCACGTGACATTTAAAATTGAAAGAGAGCATGTTTAATACTGTAGACCTATATTTTTCTACCTATGGTCTATGGACTGGTTTGGGTTCACCAGAAATTTCCCTCCAAACATGAATTAATAAATACAGTGTTCTCTGCATTTGTTTTGAGAAATGTATTAGTCATCTAAAGAATGTTGAGAGTACCTTAGACTGCCAGAATAACAAACAATCAAATACCTGGAAATGGTTAATGAAAGTAGAACGTTATGTACAACAGTGAGAAGGGGAGACACAAAGTTCTTTGGTCATGTGATGAGAAAAGAGGGCACTGGAAAATATTGTGATGACTGATAAGCTCACTGGTAGAAGAGGCAGAGGCAGACCAAGAGAAACGATGGTGGATGGCTTAAGACAGTAGCATGAAGAATATCATCAGTGGAGTTAATCCAGAACACCAAAGACCAAGATCTATGGAGATTCATGAACACCTACGCCAGCTGGCAAGGTACTTGATGATAATGATGATTAGTCATCTGTCAGTCAATGAAATTTTTCACAGTTTTCCTTGTCCTCTGATGTAAAATGTTGAAGAACACTGCTGTTGACTACTGAGTGGCCTGATTTCAAAATTAGAATATTCACAGGTGGATATTTGGAGCTTGAGCAATTCACACATTTGTATTCTTGTCATTGCTGTGGAATTGGTACACTGCAGAGACTTCTTGCATGCTCTATGAGAGTAGGCTGGAGCAGTTTTTTTTAATGAGGGGGGGGGGGGGGGGGGGGGGGGGGGGCTGAGTGGTCTCTAGGCCTGGCGTCTAAGTCGAGTGCTGAAGACCCCGGTGAAGGCTGGTATTTTTGGGGACTTTAGTAATTTCCGCTGGTCTCTGGGTAGAAAGATTAGACTCCTGTGTGCATTGTTGTGCACGTAAAAAAAAAAAATCCCTTGGCAGTTTTAAATCGAAAAGTGTAGCCTAACAGCACTCATCATCATGTAGCAGGTCCTTTGCAGAATGTCGCTGTCATCACAGTCTGCCTGAAAGAAACTCGGTCTCTCGCCAGTTCTCCTGCCTCATGAACTTTCACACTCAAGGAGTCACTTATATCCTGTGCCCATCTTCGTGTCGGTCGACCCCTGCCCCACCTTCCTGGTACCATGCCTTGTGCTATAGTTTTTTCCAATCCATTGTGGTGCTTGATATGACCAAAATATTTCAGCTTCCCTAACAGCACTGCCCGGCAAAAATCTGGAGTTAACAATTTTCCCAAAGTAGTTCAGGATCCTCTGTTCAGGATGCACTGCACTGAGATTCTTTGGACTCAGGCTTAAGTAAGAAGTAGAACGGAGCACTTATGAGTTACTACCCTTATGCCACGATGTTGATCTGTTGTTCAAATCAAATCAAGCAAAGTTTTTTGGTGTTAAATGTATAATGTGTTTAAAGCTCAGGGTGAATAGAGTTCTGATGTTGACTGGCTTTTGGCGTGATATAATAAAATGAAATGATGAAAACGGATACACCATTTTGTAAATATTTTGGATAAATATCAACATTCGTGATGAAATGGTGGTGCTACAAGGCTGACACAAACTTTTAGCATCTTTATATTTAAAAAAAAATCTTTGACCTAGACCTTTGACAAACTAGTTATTGTCACCTTTCTGTCTTTCCAGACGATAGTATTAAATTGTGCTGTAGAAAAGCATGGAAATCAGAGTCCATGGTGAGTGTGACTAGCAATACTGCTGGCATACAGAAATTTCTTCCACATTTAGAGCATGTAGTTTCAGCACCTTTGTTGCCGTTGCTTGTATTTAATGTACTTCTCAAACAATCAGCTCTAAACCTATCTGCAGTCATTTTCTCCTTTATCCTTGATAAACCAAAACTAGATATGAAAGAGTTGGGCATAAGAGATTGATTTTATCAATGTAGGAGAAGAGTTTTAAAAAAAAGGGGGGAGGGGGGTGGAGGTTGAATTAATCAATGTTGTGGAAACAGTATACTTGCCTTGACAACTAAGAGTCCAGAGTTCATAGAAGGGAAAAAACCAGAAATATTACTTAAAATAACAAAGCATAGCAAAGGACTCACTAGGTCCTCATGTTCCTGTCTCTAAACGAAATTTGTTGTAATTTACAGAATGAGGAGGTTTTGAAATTACTCACACACACAAATGTGCTTAACAACCAGGCAGAATCAGATGGGTTGTCTTCCTTGTCTCGATATTTTGCTGGGGATTGGTCATCATTTTGCAGTCTGGCAGCAAGAGAAAACCTCAAGTATGTGTCATTTTATTGTAGAAACATGCTAGAACTGACTGTTAGTAACATCATTTTCTTTGAAGTTACATAGAAGGTGTGCCAACTCACTCCACCGATCTGCTTATCTGTTGTCTTTCCTTTTTTTTTTTTTGCTTTAAAAAAATATTATGTTTTCCCTCTGTTTTTTCTACCTTATTTACTCTACTGTATCTTATCTCTGTGTAACTTCTCCCTTATTTCTTTCTTCCACTAGTACTGTCTTCGCTTTATGTCTTTCTCATTCTGTTTTGCTCCCTCTTTCCATCACTACCAAGGCAAACTACAGACAATCAAAATACAGTCCTGGGGTTCTTTCTTTCATTATATATCTCTTCTTTGTCTCATTTTCCATCTTATCTCTCTGTCTCTTTTTGTCATTGTCTTACTCTCTATGTCTGTCTCACATGTTCTAATGGAATGGTTATTGCTTACAAGCATGGAAATAGTGTGACAGTCAACAGATGCAGATGCTTTTTGTTCAAGCAAGTATGTCAAATTGTAAACATGTATCAGACATTTTAGTTTATAGACTGTTATTTAACTCTTTGAGTCCCAAGGAACGCATCATACATTCATAGATTCCTACCTAGAGGCCCAATGAAAGCATGATGCGCCAATTTTACGTCTCTCTTGACTACCCCTTGGGCCTGTGATGCTAAACCCGCTGGGACTAAGCATGAGTTAAGAGTTAAATTATTCCTTATTGGCTCTTTATAGCTTCATTTTTCTCCCCAGATAAAATAAAGCACAAGGCCCCTTCCCATGCCTTCAGGCGTATTGGGTATATAGGGCTAGACCTATATTTTAAAGACCAGTCTGCACTCAGTGCGTGATGTGGTCACCATCATGCCAGTCATTTATTTAATGTCTAATTGAATATTGCTATTAGTTTCATTTGTTCTAATATCATTTTTTTTTATATTTTTCCTTCTAACATAGGTATGACATCATACTTACAGCTGAAACAATATACAACACAGATGACTATTCCAAACTGCATGATGTGTTTAAGACTGTGCTTGCAGACACTGGTGTTATGTATCCTTTTTTTTTTTTAAAGTAATATATTTTCAAGTTTTAACATTTATCAAACCACACCAATGATATAAATGGAAAGTGTGGGCTGTTAAGCTCATCACATAATGGGACTTGCAGTTTAGCTCAGTTTTACCAGAATACATTTGAAAAATAAATAACTGATTTGCTGTATATTTAACTAACTTTTATGATTTTATAAAGGAAGGAGGGCACCAGTCCAGGATTGGATTCTCCTCTTGTCTGTTGATAAAGGCTTCTGCTGAAATGTGTGTGTTTTTCTTTCTTCCCTTGTTAAGAGTCTTAGTCACAGTTCAGCAGATTAATTTCTTGCTATCAGTTGGACTAGAGTCACCCGTGTTTTCACAAGGTAGTTTGCAAGTCTGTGAACTATCTGTTCCACCGGCACTGCTTGTAATATACGTGAAAAATTATCTGCCATTTATGAATTTTACTATACACTTGTGCATGTCCTTAACTTTTGAAACAGATATTTAGCGGCTAAAACATATTACTTTGGAGTAGGCGGCAGCATTGATTCATTCATAGAATATGTGAGAGGGGAAAACTGCTTTAACATAGAAATTGTGCATTCCGTTAACAAAGGTAAATAGTTCTTTCTCACCCTCCTTTTCTTCCTCTCCCTTCCTTCTTGTTTCTTTCACTCTACGCCTTCCTACATCTCTGGGTGCCCCATTCTTCCACATTTTGGGAAGAAAATGCATACCGACATCTCAGACTGTTACCAGCACTGTGCATCCCTGGAGCAGTAGCTTCAAACTGTTACAAGCACTGTGCATCCCTGGAACAGTAGCTTCAAACTGTTACAAGCACTGTGCATCCCTGGAGCAGTAGCTTCAAACTGTTACAAGCACTGTGAATCCCTGGAGCAGTAGCTTCAAACTGTTACAAGCACTGTGCATCCCTGGAACAGTAGCTTCAAACTGATACAAGCACTGTGCATCCCTGGAACAGTAGCTTTAAACTGTTACAAGCACTGTGCATCCCTGGAACAGTAGCTTCAAACTGTTACAAGCACTGTGCATCCCATTATTATTGAGCTCCCAAGATTAGACACCAAATCGTATTAGCGCAGTGGCTGGACCCATGCTTGCTGGCCCCAAAAGCCTTAGGTTTAAATCCACCTCAAAGATGAATTTGTATACATCACATGGTCTTCCAGGTTGCTCCAGCCTGAAATGGGTATTAGGAAATGTCATGGGAAATAGAGGCAGCTGGAATGGTGTTGACCACATCACTTTTTTGAGTACCAGTGTGTCTGTAAATATATGGGTCTGGCACCATATACCTGAGTTGCCAATGATGTGAGAGGGTTCTTTACTTTGAGAATAGTCAGTCCCGCAACTTTAGGATCAACAACCTTCTACTTTCCCTTTTGACTCTCTCCACATACTTTGAGAATAGTCAGCCAAGCAGTTTTGGGATCAACAACTTCCTTCTGTCTTTCTGTTTTCCTTCTCCTAATCTTTTCTTTTGCCTCTCTCCTTATACTTTAAGAATATTCTGCCCAGCAGCTTTAGGATCAACAACCTCTTCCTCCTCTCTCTCTTCCTTCTCCCCATCTTTCTCTTTTGCCTCTCTTCCCCTACTTTAGGAACAGTCAGCTCAGCAACAATGCCCTCTCTTCCATGCTTTAAGAATAGTCAGCTCAGCAACAATGTCCTCTCTCCCTATGCTTTAAGAATAGTCAGCTCAGCAACAATGTCCCCTCTCCCCATACTTTAAAAATAGTCAGCTCAGCAACAATGTCCTCTCTCCCCATGCTTTAAGATTAGTCAGCTCATCAACAATGTCCTCTCTCCCTATGCTATAAGATTAGTCAGCTCAGCAACAATGTCCTCTCTCCCTATGCTATAAGATTAGTCAGCTCAGCAACAATGTCCTCTCTCTCCCCATACTTTAAGATTAGTCAGCTCAGCAACAATGTCCTCTCTCCCCATACTTTAAAAATAGTCAGCTCAGCAATAATGTCCTCTCTCCCTTATGCTTTGTTGTTGTTGTTGTTATCGATCCAGCGGCGCATGAGCTTTCGCCCTTTGGCCCAATGCCATGTAGTGGAATTTGCATGTTTTCACAAGCTGTTCTTTTCCTCCGTACAAGGTGTTCCACTTGTCTGGTCTCGGAGGGAGTAGCGTTCTTCTTGTCTCACTGAGTTTTGGGCACTCAAAGAGATGGTGTTCAACAGTTTCGTAGGGGTAGTTACATAGCTGGCACTCTGGGGAGTGTTGTGGCTGTATTCTGTTTAGGTGTCCATTGAGTGGAGTATGTTGCGTTCTAAGTCTGAAGATGGTGGCCTGGTCCCTTCTTGTTAGATGGTTAATGCTGTCATTAGGATCAGGGCCAGACATATGTCTATAAACCTCTCTTCCAGTGTCTCCCATGGCCTATCTGTTCAACCAAGTCTCTTTGTTTATAGCTCTTATCAGTGTTTTTGCTGTCTGGAGGGTTGTCGCTGTAGGTGGTTGTTCTTGTGTTGCTCCTTTCTTTGCCAATCTGTCAGCTCTGTCATTACCTGGTGTGCCGGAGTGACCTGGAATCCACTGCATCACTATTCTGATGTTGTATGAGGTAATAAGCTGATCGGCATCCAGGATTATCTTGGCTATGTCAGTTCTGCAGCGTTCATTGCCCTCCAGAGCTTGAAGGGCAGACATTGAATCTGTGAAGATGACAATATTTTGGACCTTTGAGGGGTAAACATCCATTACAGTCTTTAGGTGGTATACTGCTGTTTCCAGTGCAATTATTTCAGCTTCATAGTTTGAACAGAATTCCCCGCATGCATCAAAAATCTCTTTAACAGATCCATCGGGATAACCTATGTAGATTCCGTAACCTGCTTTAATGGTAGCTTTAAATGCTGATCCATCAGTATAGACATGTATCCATTCTTGGGGGTAAGAATCAACGGTCTTTAGGGATGAGTTCATAAGAGCGATTGGGTCGGACTGTTTGGTTTCCTCGCCTACCAATTTAGTTTGGACTTCTGGAGTTTTAAAGCGAGCATGTGGTGGTAGGTTTTTTGCAAGATTCTGAATTCCTTGACGTCTTTCTGGGAGGTGGTATCTGTCCTGAATTTCATTAACACAGTGTAAAACCGATTTGTGCTTTATTCTTTGTTTGGGTTCCCAGTTTTCTACAAGATGTCTATTAGGATGGTTACGATTTTTCCTAACGCATCTTTCATAAATTTCTAAAGTGTCTTTTTCTCTCCGCAACCCGAGGGGTTCCACATTTGTATGGATTTCACATGCAGCAGTTGGTGTAGACTGCATAGCTCCGCAGATTAATCGGAGGGCATTATTTTGTACTCTGTCAAGAGTCTCTAGGTTAGTTTTGGAACAAGTTGTAAGCAGTGAGTTGTTGTACTCTATCACAGAGCGAACATATCCTAGGTATAAGCCCCTCAGAGTTTCCTTGTCTGATCCCCATGATGTACCTGCAAGTCTCTTTAATAACTGTAACCGCCTCAATGCCTTATTCCTGATGTTTTCAATATGGTTCTTGAGGCTGAGCTGCGGGTCAAGTGTGACTCCAAGGTATGTGGGATGCTCTTCTTTCATCACTTGGTGTTTGTCTAACCTCAGGTTAATATTCTTCCTTGCTACTTGGTGGCTTTTGGTAAAGATTGTGTAGACCGTCTTTGCACAGTTAATCTTGAGTTTCCATCTTTGGCAGTAGCATGCAGTCTTCTAAGGTCTCCATTCAGTCTTTGGGCTCCACTTTCCACATTTTCATGACTCTGCCATATTGCTAGGTCATCAGCGTACAAGGCTTTTTCGGCCTTGATTTGTTCTGGCAGGTCATTTATAAAGATTAGGAATAGTGTACAGCTCAATGATGAGCCTTGTGGCAAGCCCTCCTCCAAGACTTCTTTAGAAGAGATTGCGTTGTGCATCTTAGTCTGGATTGTTCTATCTATCAGGAAGTATTTCACCCAGTTATACAATCTGCCATGTATTCCTATGCTCATCATCTTCATCAGGAGACCTTTTCTCCATACTCTGTCATAGGCCTGCTGGAGATCGACAAAGACTGCCACTGTGTGTTTCTTATTCTGGAAGCCATCATGTATTCTTTGTGTCAGTCTGAACAGCTGGTCTTCTGTGCAGCTGTTGGTTCTGAAGCCTGCCTGTTCATGGCATAGAACACCAGAACTCTCAAGGAACCAATATAAGCGCCTGTTTATCATTCTTTCTGCAACTTTGCCCAAGCATGATGTTAAGGATATCGGGCGGTAGCTTTTGGGTCATCTGGAGGCTTTTTGGTTTTAAGGATGGGGACGATATATGCATTCCTCCATGCCCTTGGAAGTTTGCTTGACCTCCAAGTTTTATTAATAAGCCTGAGAACTACTTCTCTCCCAGACCGGCCAAGATGTAGCAGCATTTCGTTGTGGATCTTATCTGGGCCTGGAGATTTTCTAGGTTTTAATTTCTTCAGGGCTTGCTCTAGTTCATCCATGCTAAATTCATTTTCAAAAAGGGAGTCGCTGGCTGTTGGAGCTCTCTCTTGTTTCTTCAACTGAGAGAGCTGTGTTCTATTGAGTTCTGACAGCTTACCTGCTCTGTTAACTGAGGCAAAATAATGATTGAAATGTTCTGCTTTCTTCTTGTCTTCAGTGATTGTCTTACTCCCATCTGTCACTGGTTTTGGGTTCACCCTTCTACTTTCTCCGGAGAGGTTTTTAACTAAAGTCCATGCTTTATTTCCATTCTGTCTAAGGTCTAAGTTGGAGCAAGTTTCTGTCCATTTATCTCTTTTAGCCTTATTAACTACAAGCTTTACTCTGGCACATGCTTTATTGTATTGGATCTTTGCTTCTGTTGAACGTGCAGTTTCGAGAAATATTCTTGCTTTATTCCTTTCAGATATAGTATTTTGAATTTCTTGATTCCAAAAAGGTTTATATGCCTTCCGGCTGCCCCTTGGGATGGCTTTCGACGCTGCATTCAGGATTGCTTGTGTTATGTCTTCACAAAAAGTTTCCACACAGCTGTTGTCAATTCTTCCCAGGAGGCAGTCAGATGTTTCCTGAAATAGTTTCCAGTTTGCTTTTCGGAAATTCCAACGGGTTCTCTGCTTGAAGCGTAATTTAGGGGTGATGCTTACAGTTGTGAGTATAGGTTTGTGGTCACTTCCTATGTCGTCCAGGACTTGGGGATAGCTTGCGTCTGCTAAGTCGGATGAGCAGATGGTCAGGTCTGGTCTGCTGAGAGATAGGTGGGCCCTGTGTAACAGTGTAGGTGTAGACTCTGTGTCCTGCAGCACTAATAGGTTAGTTGTTTCACAAGTATCTTCGATGTACTTCCCTGTGCTATTGTAGTCAGGGTAACCCCAACGTGGCGAGTGTCCGTTGAAGTCACCAACAAGAAGGGTTTGATGGTACTGTGTCTTGTATAGTTCTGGTATGTTGCATGTTGTCTGAGGTGGGCTGTACACGTTGTATATCGTATATTTGCTTCCATTGTGCCAGATAGTTATTTTTTTGCACATCTGTAGGGTGAGATGTCGACAGCATTGTTACATCTCCTTGTATGTCATTTCTGATATAGGTCACTATGCCCCGGCAGTCATTGCACTTACAGGCATAACTAGTATATCCAGTAAGATGCAGATCAGAGTCTTTATGCAGGGTTTCTTGTAGGGCAGCCACGTGTACCCTGTGGTTGTTTAGCAGTTTGGCAAGTTCAAGTTTCTTATTTCTTATTCCACAGATGTTCAGCTGCAGAATATTGAGCATCTGTGTATTTTTTGCTGTGCTGTCTGAGTTCTTTTTGCTCTCCCTCCCACTCTTCCTCCTCCTGGGGTGTCTGTTTTCCCTATTTATTTCAAATTTTCCAGTAGCCAATTTTTCGCACATGACAGCCTGGTTTCCCACTGTCTGGCGCGGGCCTTGATAGACGAGGCGACGACCGATCTCGTATGTATTCTTAAATTTTGACATATTCATGGCATTGTGGTGCCTGGGTGTCTGTGGATTACCTACCTCCCCGGGCAGCAGCTAGAAATGCCCTGTACCAGTTCTAAAGGAAATATGGGTTGTGTTTCTGCCTTTCCCTTTAACACGTAGCTAAGGTGGGGCTCACAGTGTTCTCATTCCCCGCCACCAGATTGCCTGCAGGTTTCGCTGAGCTCTTCATGTCTCTAAGCATGGCCTAAGCATGAGTAGTTGGGGCAACTGGATCGTCACGTCCTGAGTCCCTGTGCCTTCACGATAGTTTCCGGTATTCAGGGGGGTTAGCATACTTGTTTCCATTCCTAAGACTGTTCAGCACACCTCTGGTTCCTTCCCTCCCACAGGGGGCAGTACGGTGTGGTGCACCGGGTTTATTATCGAGGTTTGCTCCTCTAGATCCATTGTGTTTTGCCTGGGGATTCGCACCCCCAGTTACCGGGACTACCTCGGGGAGGTTGTGAATCTTCGCCACGCACAATGGTCTTGAGGTAAGAGAGGTTTTGCTAGGTCAAGAGGCTGACACCACAATGGACGCTCCTTTCGTGAACAGATATTCACTAGACCTAGGGTGAAGTAAGGGGGGGAACCCACTACCCACAACACCAACACTTCTTACCCCCTGCCTCTCGAGGCTCAGTCCCCCCTTATGCTTTAAGAATAGTCAGCTCAGCAACGATGTCCTCTCTCTCCCCATACTTTAAGATTAGTCAGCTCAGCAACAATGTCCTCTCTCCCCATACTTTAAAAATAGTCAGCTCAGCAATAATGTCCTCTCTTACCATGCTTTAAGAATAGTCAGCTCAGTAACAATGTCCTCTCTTCCATGCTTTAAGAATAGTCAGCTCAGCAACAACGTCCTCTCTCCCCATACTTTAAAAATAGTCAGCTCAGCAACAATGTCCTCTCTCCCCATACTTTAAAAATAGTCAGCTCAGCAACAATGTCCTCTCTTCCATGCTTTAAGAATAGTCAGCTCAGCAACAACGTCCTCTCTCCCCATACTTAAAAAATAGTCAGCTCAGCAATAATGTCCTCTCTCCCTATGCTTTAAGAATAGTCAGCTCATCAACAATGTCCTCTCTCCCCATACTTTAAGATTAGTCAGCTCAGCAACAATGTCCTCTCTCCCTATGCTTTAAGATTAGTCAGCTCAGCAACAATGTCCTCTCTCCCTATGCTTTAAGATTAGTCAGCTCAGCAACAATGTCCTCTCTCCCTATGCTTTAAGATTAGTCAGCTCAGCAACAATGTCCTCTCTCCCTATGCTATAAGATTAGTCAGCTCAGCAACAATGTCCTCTCTCCCCATGCTTTAAGATTAGTCAGCTCATCAACAATGTCCTCTCTCCCCATACTTTAAGAATAGTCAGCTCAGCAACAATGTCCTCTCTCCCCATACTTTAAGATTAGTCAGCTCAGCAACAATGTCCTCTCTCCCTATGCTTTAAGATTAGTCAGCTCAGCAACAATGTCCTCTCTCCCTATACTTTAAGAATAGTCAGCTCAGCAACAATGTCCTCTCTCCCCATACTTTAAGATTAGTCAGCTCAGCAACAATGTCCTCTCTCCCCATACTTTAAGAATAGTCAGCTCAGCAACAATGTCCTCTCTCCCCATACTTTAAGATTAGTCAGCTCAGCAACAATGTCCTCTCTCCCTATGCTTTAAGATTAGTCAGCTCAGCAACAATGTCCTCTCTCCCTATACTTTAAGAATAGTCAGCTCAGCAACAATGTCCTCTCTCCCCATACTTTAAGATTAGTCAGCTCAGCAACAATGTCCTCTCTCCCCATGCTTTAAAATAGTCAGCTCAGCAACAATGTCCTCTCTCCCTGTGCTTTAAGAATACACAGCCCAGTATTTTTGGGATCAGCAACCTGCTCCGGTCTCTCTTCCTTCTCCCCATCTTTCCCTTTTGCCTCACTCATTGTTTTAAGCTTACATCTGTGTGTTCCTTGTCCCTCGAAGTGGGCTTTTTATCATCATCATTTGCCATGTCATGCCAGTTGTGTAGGTAGTCATGTTTGGCCATCTACCTCACTTGCAGAGTATTTAGCAGGGAAGAAAATGCCTAAAAACTGAAGCAAAAACATTGCCAGTGTTTCACAAAATGAAGATAATTTTATGCAGTCTGTCTTTGTCATTGAGATAAGAGGGAGAGTTCCTAAGAGCTATGTACAGCCAGTCTTGCTGAAGAGGAGTGAATCATGGACATTGAGCTCATCAGTTAACAAAATGTGTGGAACTGCAGGAATGTGGTTTTAAAGGTGATCATGGTTAACACAATAGACAGATAAAAAAAATTAAGAATTATAATGAGAAGTTAACTCATGAAGAGAACTGATTACCCAGATCGGGAGGAGATAATTTATATTTTTTGATTAAGTTGTGATAGTGGATAAGTTTGACAGTAAGAGAGAAGACTCTAGACAGTTTGACATCATGACACGGAGGATCGCCTGCGTCAGAAATGACTGAAAGTGTACAAAACAGAAGACTGTGAACAGATAGATACCACCAACACCATATTTGATGCATTATGAGAAGTATGTGAACAAAAAGATTACACACACACAAACTTCAACATAAACCTCAGAGCATCTCTAAGCTAGACAACAAATAAAAGCATGCAATTCTTGCTGGGAAATTAAATGATGAGTAAGAGGATGAAAACTCTGCAAGAAAGGCAGACAGCCACATTTTTGTCATGCAGTAGTTTAGTATTGTCTAGCTTATATTTTGTAGTTATATCTGAACAAAAAAAACAAAAAAAAGTAAAGGTCCCCTTTCCACGCCTTTAGGCATATAGGGCTAGACCTATATTTTTAAAGACCAATAGGCACAAGATGGGTGATGTGGCCAGCATCAGGCCGGCCGCCTTTACCCACCGGGACTGCACCCGGTACCCACTCAAGGCTGGGTCGACCTGGGAGGAACTCTTTAAACATTGACTTATTTACATCTGTGGATTCATTTTTTGATTTGTTTTGTTTGTTGATTCAGGTGTTCAGAGAAAAATTCTGAAATTATGGCACCTTTCAAACAATGCTTTGAGTGAAGAAGGAACAGAAAGCTGACTGCTGACAGTAAAGTCTTATCACTGGTACAGGTACAGCAATGTAAGGACATTCTGAAACAGCATTTCACGAGAAAAATCCCTGAGGCAGAACTTTATGGCCGGAGATAGTTTATGGTATTAATAATCAGTAGTTCTGTTTTTTATTTGTACTGCCTCCAAAATGTAAAAGTTGAGGGCTGAGTGGTCTAGAGGCATGGCATCTGCCTCAAGTGCTGGAGGTCCCGGGTTCAGGCCCTGGTGAAGGCTGGGATTTTTTTCGTGTGGACTTCTAGTAATTTTCCCTGGTCTCTGGGTAGTAAGATCAGACGCCCTTGTGTACACGTTAAAAGTCTCTTGGCAGTTGGAAATTGAAAAGAGTAGCCAAATGGTGCTGCTCAGGCAAAATTTTGAGTTTAAAATCTACCCAACGTATTTCAGGATCCTTAGCGGTGCTATGAAGTTTTTCAGACTCAGATGTGAGTTAGAAGTACAACAGAGAACTTCTATGTTACTACCCTTGTGCCATGATGTTGATGTGTTGTAGAAACCAACCAATAGACGTATTTTTAGGCTTAATTTATTTTCAAAAATTATTATTTAAAAAAAAAATCATTATCATTTAAAACTCAGTTGCAGCCCACTAACTGCGAACCTGTGAACTTTGAGGCTGTTAGCTTATGGCATGGTTTATTTTGCAGTGGATAACAAAAGCAATATGCATTCTAGATTAGATAAGGGTTCAACAGAGAATATGTTTGTAGTGTCGGTGCTACTGCATCATGAGTATCTGCATCTTTTCTTTCCTAGGAAAAAAAGCTGATATTAAAGGCAGGGATATTTCAGAAAAGAATATTGGTTAATTTAATCCCTTATCAACCCAGGAGAGCAGTGAATAGAATAGAATAACATGATTTCTTTGAACGAATGTTGGAAGAACTGATCTGTCTTTCAAATAAATGCTTTTTAGTGCACACAGCACACAGTGAAGGATTGTTTATTGGATTTTTTTGTGTAGAGCTGCTATTGTGCCTTTTGGCTGACATATCTGGCTTCTTCAGGCATTTGTTAACCTGATTAACTTTCACCGCCATTGATGTACAAGGGGAAGTCATTAAGTAAAAGCAGTTGCATAAGTTTTTACTTTCACCGCCATTGATGTACAAGGGGAAGTCATTAAGTAAAAGCAGTTGCATAAGTTTTTTTACAAGCGGCTGCAACAAAATTGTTCTGTGTCCCTGCCTTAAAACACATGTAGTCCACCGATCCACAACATTGTGGATGCCCGCCAGGTGGCAGATTTTGGGTATTAGTTAGTTAATGAGTTAATTGACGGATTATCCTCATTACACATTGAACCATTGAGTCCATAAGTGCTCGGATTCCCTCCTTAGTAAATCCTGCAGTTTGTTGCAGCTCATGACACCAGTTCTAGCCACACCCTTTTTAATATGTTATTCTTGCAGTCTGGTCATCGTTGCAGATTCACAGTGGTCACCAAGTTCTAGCAGACGTATTAATTCTCGTAGAGTTTTCAGAATATCAGCACAGTCTATGGCTCATCCGACCTCCACAATTATCCTTTCTTTTGCTGAAAACTGGTTTTAAAATGAGTGTTAATAACTTGATTTCATATTCTGGTTAGAAACATCCTGTGTATTTGTGAATTTGCTGTAGCAGACACAGTATTGTCAGTGTGAAGGTGAAAATAGTTCGAATTGTGAAGTATTCTTCTTCTACTCATTACCCACAGTGGAGTGTATGTCCTCAACCTATTCACACTAAGTCATCCTATCGTTTTCTATCATATTTATTTCATCCCATGTCTTCCTCATATTTTTACCTTTTTCTTTAACCTCATTTCTCTCCCCTCTTCTTCATCTGTTTTTGTGTGTAACTACCCTTGAACCTGTGGTTTTTAATGCAAGGACATACTGGTTTATATTATCTCAGTTCATGTCCTGTCTGACATTTATGTCTTTTCCTCACCTCTGGATTCACTTGAATTAGTTAATATCTTTTTTAAAGCTCTACATGAGTTGAGCTTAGTTGAGTCAAGAATTCACATCACAGCATTAGGGGCATTCTCATGTGTGCTTCATCCTCATCTTCAGCAGCCAGCACAGAGTTCCAATACTGATGGTACCGGTCATAATCTGGTTATATGTCCGTCTTGCCTTTCCTCTGAATGTAGTGAGCCAATCAGACCCTCTGGTTACACCCAGATGTTTCATTCTCTCCAGGCTATGATAATCTTGTTTCCTTACTGATTCCGTTGCTTGTTCCCAAAGGGTCTGACTACATCTGCCTTGTCATGTATCAATTCATCACCCAGTGGTGCAGATCCAGCCAATCTGTCTGCCTGTTCATTACCCCCTACACCAACATAGCCTGGAGAAAAGATCCAAAGTATGCTCACTACCTTTGAACTTCCCAGTGAAGCTTGCCACTCTGCTCAAAGCATCTGTCTTGACCTTTCTCAAATGCTTTCAGAATCTGTTACAATTACCACATGTGTGTGCTTGTTCTCTAGCCATCGGAGAGCTGCAGTTACTGCCTCCACCTCCATTCTCATGCTGTACATGAATAATTCTGTCGTACTGTTTAATTCCCTCTTATCCACACAGCCACCAGTTAATGAATGTGAACTATTAGACCTTCATAATGTTCTAGTCTAATGGCATACAGGGATGGAGTGCTTAGTAGCCTTCCTAACCACATTTACTTCCCAGAAAACTCTATAAATTTCTTAAGTAATTTAGTGCCTCTTTTATTTAGCTGTTGAATGCAGAGCCTGATAAGAAAACAAATCTTGCTGTTGCTGGGGATTGAACCGGACCACTCTTTTCGTAAAGAGGTGCGCTTACTGTGCCCTCATCATTCTGTTTCAAAGAAAATAAGTGTGTTTATTTTGTTCCATGATTTTGTATGAGCCCAAGGTGGGAGCCACAGTAGAACAATGGCTAATCACTTGCCTGAAGGTCTTGTGTTCAAATCAGCACTGAAGCTGATGTTTTAGCAAAACTGAGTCCCAGGTCAACCCAGCTTAAATTTTTTACCATGTAATTCCCTGGGAAGTAAATGGGGTAGTCATGATTAGACCCTCACCCATTGTGGGTCAGTTTGGCTATAAAAACAGAGTCCAGCATCATGTGCTAAATGCACTATTGGCATTAACTCTGCCAGACCGCTGTACTACTTTTCTGGTAATTTCCTATTCTGCCGCTCAACCACCACCATCATTATGTAGCAGGTCCTTTGCAGAACGACGCTCTCATCATGGCCGGCCTGAAAGAAACTCGCTCTTACCAGCTCTCCCACCTCATGCACTTTCATACTCAAGGAGTCACTTATCATGTCCCGATCTTCCTGTTAGTCGGCCCCTGCCCCTCCTTTCTGGTACCATGCCTTCTGCTATAATTTATTCCAATCCGTCGTGCATAAGACCAAAATATTTTAGCTTCTGTGCCTTCCATAATGAGTTTCTTGGGATAGTAATATAGTAGTTTCCTGTTGCTTTCCACATGCACATGGCTTTAGACTACGTCCTCAGCCTTCAGCATCCTTTTTGATTGCTAGGGCAAGTGAGTGCCCTGCTCTGTGATGCTCCTGCTAACAGCAGAAGGCACCCCAGAGGTGTCCACTTATCCTGGTGGACACTCGGTATCCATAGCTGCGTTGACCACACCGCAGTGCGTTTACCATAGGCTACTGCGTGGAGGTGCAGTTGGGGTTTTCCCTTCACTGAATCTTGAGACCAAAATGGCATTTCCCAAAACTCTCCAGTTTTTAAACAGCTGTACCTAGTTTTCAGTACTTTGCATACTAGTCGATAAAACATGTCACAAACCTAAAATAACCAACCAGTCGTGATCAAACCTCGTGGTTAGTCATTGTGAATGATTGCCCGCATGTGTTTGGATTTACTTTGTGTGGTTTAACACGAAACAAATTCTGAAAACTCACCATGAAATGAGCAGCTGATGAACCAAGCACTACGACAGGAAAGTGAGGTCTATGTTTTTCACAGTCCAACAGGTGATCAATATTTTGGTAAATTTAGACTGAGGAGTCAGAAATCCCTGAAGAATACATTCCCAGTTTAAGTGACACAGTCAGTGAGAGCTCCATGAGGAGAATCTAGAAAATTCTAAATTTTAAACTAGATCGATAGTAAGAGAATGAGGGTGTCCCTCAAACAGCAACATCTGGTGCTCATTTCGTGAAACAAGGTGGATTGGCTCACAAAGTTGGAATATTGATGCTAGATGAGAGTTAAACCTATTTTCTACAATGTCTCCAAGTTTCATCTTATTCTAACCACTTATTTGCATGCAACTAATATTTTTGTATATCATGTTAGTTTTTCTAGAGCTCAGGTGTAGAAAGCAGTTAGGTTCAGGGCCTCTGGTCTGGTAGGGTTAAGTGTTCTTTCGCTTTGCAGTTATTTTCAGATTAAGGACGGCTTCACTAACAGACTTTGCCAAATATGTTTGGACTGTTTGATGTGGAAAACATGGAAATATGTCCCTGCAACTTGGCATCAGAAAATGCTGAGCATGTATTCCAAAAGCCAGCTCTATGCTGCCAACAGAGACACAATCTGTGCTGCCAACAGAGACACAATCTGTGCTGCCAACAAAGACACAATCCATGCTGCCAACAGACACACAATCTGTGCTGCCAACAGAGACACAATCTTTGCTGCCAACAGAGACACAATCCATGCTGCCAATAGGGACACAATCTTTGCTGCCAACAGAGACACAATCTTTGCTGCCAACAGAGACACAATCTGTGCTGCCAACAGACACACAATCTTTGCTGCCAACAGAGACACAATCCATGCTGCCAATAGGGACACAATCTTTGCTGCCAACAGAGACACAATCTTTGCTGCCAACAGAGACACAATCTGGCCTGTTGCAACCTCTGTGAAGACAAAGCTCTCAAGGTACACTGCATGATAGCTTTCATACAACCTACCAGCCGCATGATATAATTTTTCTGTCAGAAGGATCA